ATATAGCTGGGCCACAAATGTGATAATAACAGCTAAACGGGGTTTCTGGGACCTCTCCACGAGTGATCCTCATCTGCATGGTGGCACTTTGTGTCATTGGCTGTTTATCGCTTGTGTTATGTCCTGGTGGGGTACAACAAGCAAGCAAGGGTAACTGTTGAAGGAAGACTGGCTGCAACTAGAGCCAGTATTGGTTGAACAGGGTTTCTGGAACCACCCCACCCCCTTTTTTTTCCATCTCTGGGTGGTCCTTATCCGAACAGGGGCACTTTGTGTCACCAGTTATTTATCACTTGGTATGATGTCCTGGTGGAGTAAAAAGTCAGTCATCCAAAAGGTGGCATTTTGGGTCACCAGCTGTTCATCCCCCCTGCTGTGTGATCCTGGTATGAACTGGACTCAGACATACACACACGCACGCACGCACGCACGCACACACACAAACACATTATCAGACATAATTGCATTTAAGCAGACACGTAAAAAAAATACATATTTAAAAACTACAGTCATGCAAAAGAACGAAAGTTAGTCACACCAGAATGCAATTGCAGAACAAAATAAGTGTAACATGCGACACAATATACAAAATATAGATAAACGATATAAAAACACACGGAGAGAATAAAGTGCAAGTGTGTATACAAATATAGATGGCAAGCATGCGGTCTCTAGCGAGGACGAGACGCTGAGAATTGTAATCTATAACATTCGTGGAAAGTTGAGACTTGTAATCTACAACATTCATGGAAGGCTGAGAGTTGTAATCTACAACATTCATGGAAGGTTGAGAGTTGTAATCTACAACATTCATGGAAACTGACAGCTGTAATCCATAACATTCGTGGAAATATGAGAGTTGTAATCCATTAAAAACGTGGTAGGTTGATAGCTTTAATCTAGAACATTCGTGGACAGTTGAGAGGTGTAATCTACAACATTTATGGAAGGCTGAGAGTTTAAATGTACATAATTTATGGAAGGATGAGAGTTTAAGTCTACAACATTTATGGAAGGATGAAAGTTGAAATCTAAGGTAAGATAAAAGATATAAGATATCTGATGAATACACTGATAAAACAGCTTAGGATATGTGATATAGAGATGCGATTAAAAAAAATTGGAAATTTAGTTTACTTGAAATTAGGGGATGTAGGATTAACAGAATTAATAAAATATGCACCATATGTAATTTAAGTCGGCCTAATGCTGACCACATAGGGCACCAAACGCCGGCCAATGTTTAAAATCAAGATCTTTCCCTATATACCTAATTCATCTAAGGATAAGGAAAACATTTAATTTTGAAATACTAAGACTGAGATGGAATATGTCATCTATAGATGTGATAAAATATGGAATGTGTCACTTGAACGCTATGGAGTGGGGCAGACAGAATTATAAAAATTAGATTTCTATGAGCATGAATCTTTTTCATTGCAACATACGCCTGTGAGATCTAGACACTTACTAAACAAGCTGAACAGCGCATAAATGCCTCTGAATACAAATGTTTTTGACGGGTTCTAAGAATATCATGGGTAAAGAAAAGAACAAATGCATTCATACTTCAAAAAGTGAATACTAAAGAAGGTTGGCTATTAAAGATAATAAAACACAGAAAATTGAAATATTTTGGTGACTTGAAACGTCAAGAAAGTTTAGAGAGAACAATAATGGAGGGGTATATGCCTGGGAAGAGAGGAAGACGAAGGCCAATGAGAAGATGGGTGCAGAATCAGGCGGATGACCTCCAGATGGGTGTATCGGACGCCGGTCATTCTGCTTGTGATCGAGAAGTTTTCCGGAGGGATGATATGGAGCAAGGTTATGCAAAGTACATGCTACTTGCTGACTGAATGAAACTGTAAATGCGGGAAAAGGGGGGGGGGGGATAATACAAGTTTGGTATGTGTAGTCTACAAAAGGTTAGTTGCGTATCCTCTACAGAACGTTGCAGAACCAACCCCAACAGCCCCTGGCTGTTGTGTGGTTTTTCTAGGCAAATTTATGTCCAGAAGTTGTAGTCTACAAATGTGATACAAATATGGGATGTGTAATTATGAGAAAAGACGTGGGATATATAATTTGCAGATTGCTTAAAACCTAAGGGATATGCAACCTAAACATTATACCTGTGGATTACATCCTACCTGTTTGATGAAAGAAATGGGATTTGCAATTTACCGATGAGGTAACGCAAGACCCTAAAATCACACATACAAAGCAGCTGGAGAGTGAAGTTAAAAAATATGGTGTGGGCATGGACAGAATTGCATTCAATGGTTGAGGATAGAACAACTTGGCGTGAGATGGGTGAGGGCCTCTGCTCCATTGCGGGTTAGAAAGGCAGAAGAAGAAGATGAGATAATAGACACGAGTGATGTTGGTGCCTCACTGTGTCGGTAAAACAAGGAAACCTGGATGTGACAACATGCAGATCAAAGCTATCAGCTGCGGCTTTCATCTTACTGGTGTATGTGTTTTGAATTATGCGTTAATTCCTACAGCGTAGACATCAAATAGGAAAAGCAAAGATGTTTTACCCTATGGCCATGGGATGGGTAAGAGAGATTTGCTGTATACTAAAACTGCAAGATCTGGTAAGTTTGGTGGGTTTAAGATATACAGGCTGGGTTGATGTTAATTTATTGTTTGTCAGTTTACATGTGTGCCTGTGTACAAAGCGATCGGTCGCACCGCCCACCACCCTCCTTCTTCTCACCGCCTATATTTCCTTCTTCTTCTTTCTCATTTCATCATCATCATCATCATCATCATCATTCTCGTCAACATCTTCCTCCTCGTCATCAACATTCTCGTCAACATCTCCCTCCTCGTCATCCTCATCCTTATCACCATCACCAAAATCATTTTCATCATCATAATCATCATCATCATCTTTTTCTTCTTCCTCTTCTTCTCCTTCATCTTCATCGTCATCATCATCTACCCCATACCACAACGCCACCCCGTTATCTTATGAAAGTGTTGCGAGAAATGTAAGCATCCTCTGTGTGCTTTACCTAAGACCTGAAATAAGTTGATCTTCACTTCCCATTTCTTGGTGCCATCGTTCCGTGTTTTTCGTGGACTTTGCCGGTCCCACTTTTCTTCAAATATTTTCAATGTGATTTCCTGTGACAGCTGTTACCAGAGCATCCTTATCAAATGACCAAACCATCTCATCATATTGTCTTTAATAAACCGTTATACTGCTTTCAGCCCCAGTCTTCTTCTAATTTCGACATTTTCAACTTTACTTCATGTTACTTCGGTAGCTCTTCGGAGACATTTCACCCCTGTTATGATTTTGCTTTTATTAACTTCTGGCAAGGGAGCCGCCGTGGTCTAACGGTTAGACACTCGCCTAAGGAAAAGTGGGTTCGTTTCCCGCGGCAGCAGAACTTTTTTTCAAAAATGACCTTGGCTCCGAAGTCTGTCTGTCTATCCATGTCACTGTTTCTATCTGTTTGTTATTAGTTTTCGCAGTCTCTCTTTTTGTGTGTATGCGAGTTTGCATCCATCTCTCTCTCTCTCTCTCTCTCTCTTTCTCTCTCTCTCTCTCCCCTCTCTCTCTCTCTCTCTCTCTCTCTCTCTCTCTCTCTATATATATATATATATATATATATATATATATATATATACATATATAAGTGTGTATTTACACTGACATTAGCAAACCACTCTCTCTCTCTCTCTCTCTCTCTCTCTCTCTCTATATATATATATATATATATATATATATATATATATATATGTGTGTGTGTGTGTGTGTGTGTGTGTGTGTGTGTATTTACACTGACATTAGCAAACCACTGCAAACAACACTGTGTGAGAGCTTAAGCAGAGGCATAGAAAAACAGCAACAAAAATGCACACAAGCACAAACCAAGAAGTCACGTATTATAAATCCAAGCACATAAAACAACAATAAGTATGTAAATATCGATTTACTTTTACATTTGAAGCCGCATTTTCTTTTACTTCTTTATTGTATGATATAGTTTAATTGACTTTTACATTATGTGCTATAGTTTAATTGACCTCTATAGTGTATGCTATAGTTTAATTTACTTCTATAATGTATGTTATATTTTAATTGACTTCTAAATTACATACTGTAGCTTAATTTACCTCAATATTGTATATTATAGTTAATTAACTTCTATGTTTCGTACTATATTTTATTTCCCGCTGTAATTTAATTAATTCCATATATAATGCCACATTTCAATTTACTTCTATATTTTTTGATGCATTTTTCATTAACTGACCTCATCCCCAATCTGATATGCAGGGTCAAAGGTTATAAGTAACCTGACCTCTACCTTGTATCACTCTGAGAAGACTCCAGTCTGGCAAACAAAAGTAAGTCGAGAACTATCGTCCACGTCTTTGGGCGTACTGGGCATATAATGTGAGACCTAAATCTTATAGACTATTCAATGATTGGGATAAGCCTACCCTGCATACAGAGACTGGACTCGGCGGATTGTGTGGATGAAACCTCTTAAAGTTCATCAGATAAGAAGGCGATCACCAGCAAGCTCTGTGGAAAGCTTCAAGTAAGCCTGGGCACTTGAGACGCCTTGGTCGTCCAATGCACCTAGGTTAATTTCCTCTTCTTCTGCGTTCATCGGAAAGCCGGGAAACCCAGTCTTACCACCCTCTAAAATGTTGGACTGTCCTTGACGTCATCTGGAGGACAGCAGTCTGTCAATCTTTCCACAAGGGACTGTGAAAAACATTCTGTGTGTTTTTCGTTGGCACAGGAGCGGAGCAAAGATGGGGCGACCCGTTTGCTATGAAGCTGAAACTAAGACTACCAGACTACCAGACCAGACCAGACCAGACTGGAGTAGGATATTTATAAAGCACCCAAGTGTTTCTATATGATACAGCCTATATGGGCTACTGAAATGGCTTTGCCTATTTCTTGACAGAATTGTGTGCCGTGTGTTGCGGGTGTCAAGTGAGCTAAGAAGACAAACACTTACTGACACGTCTTCTGTTGTCTTGGGGCCCTCGGTCCTGGAATCTGAGCGGGTGAAGAAATGTTCCCTGAAAGGGAGCTGCAGGGAGCCCCGGCGCTGCTTGCTGTAGGGTGCCTCTGTCAGGGGCGTCACCAGCCCCAACGAATCTCTTCTAGAGCTACGCTGTGTTCAAGTAATACATTCAACGGTTAAGGGGTAATCCCTCAGAGAGGTGAGTGAGTTCAGTAATACGCTGAAGTAATCAGGGCAAATACATCACAGAGGTATGTAAGTTCAGTTACATACTGGAGAGATAAAGGGAGATCTCTTATAGAGGCGAGTGTTTTCATAAGAGGAGATCCTTCAGAGAGGTGAGTGAGTTCAGTAATACACTGGAGAGACCAGGGAAGATTCTTTAGAGAGTTGAGTAACTTCAGTAAGATACTGAAGAAATAAGGGGAGATACCCCAGGGAGATAAGCGAGTTCAGAAACATACTGAAGAGATCAGGGGAGCTCCCTCAGAGAGATAAGTGAGTTCATTAATACACTGAAGAAATTAAAAAAAAAGGGGGATGGGGATCTCCGTGAAAGATAAAAGCTGCTAGTAATGAATTAAGGGAAGATTCCCCAGAGAGATAAGAATGTTGCCTAATACATTGGCGGGATGAGGAGCGATCTCTGAAAGACGTGCTTTCAGTTATACATTGACGGGGAGATACATAATAAGGGTGTTTTCAGTAATATATTGAAATAACAAATTATATATCAACCAACATTTTTATACTCTCCTCCAACCAACTATCATTTTGAGGAAAAAACCAATCCTTCCACCTAATCAACCACCCTTCCACCCATCCGCCAACTAACCAACTCTTCCATCCAGCCATCCACCAGCCAACCGACCCTTCGATCCGCCCATTCAACTACCATTCCAACGACCCACACCAACCCTTAGATCCACCCATACACCTACCATTCCAACGACCCACACAGCAACAAATTAACCAAAGACCAACTAGTTAATAATCATCATCATAATAATTAAAAACAGTGTTAATGCGCTTGCTTTGAATGGACCCCATTTGATAAACCTTGCCAGTGGTTACTCTACGAATGGACGAACTCATCTGTTTAGGTGAATGTTTTGCTTATATCAACATAAAAACGATACAATGATGTGATAGATGTGTTGACGATGATGATGATGATGACGAAATGAAGTACACAGAAAAGAGTAGTGCGTTGAGGAAACAAGAATGACGTAGTTAGTTAGTTAGTTAGTTAGTTGGGTTATCGTCATTGCACTCCGGACATGTCCATAGGTGCTCAGATCCTCCCCTCAGTATGAACCCCAACGTCCGATGGCTAATAGTACCAGTTCTATGTTGATTAACAAGTCTTCTGACGTGTCCGGTGTGCGTCTCGTTTTTTGCTGTGCCGATCTTAATTCCCAAGTCTGCCATTCTGGCGAGTGATGTGGATTTACTGCCACCAAAGTCCTCTATCCTTCCCATTTCTCTGAGGGCATTGATAATATCAGCATGATCCATAGGCCGACCGTCGGTAGTGATAGCGGATCCAGCCAACCTGTCAGCTCTTTCATTTCCATCAACGCCTGCGTGTCCCGGAACAAAAATAAAGGTGACTCCACGCACAGTGGACTTCTGTAATGATTCAAGCCATTGTCTTCGCACTGAACCTGCCTGAACCCTCCGGATCATACTCATTGAATCACTGAGTATACATATGCGGGTGTATTTTTGTGTTTCAAGCCAGGCAAACGCTTGCGTCACTGCCATCACCTCCATCGTCATGCTGCTGGTTGTCATGGAGAAGGCACCGTTGGCTTCTTTGACTGTTCTGCCCGCTGAGCGTGCTGTAAATGCCCATGCGCTTCTTCTTTGGCGTATAACGGATCCGTCTGTATAGATTAGTGCATCTGCTTCGTCTGAATTTTCACCGATGAGAGCGTTGACCTCTGCATTAACAGTAACAGGATTCTCTTCTCTACATCGCCTGTTGAGTGTGACAATACAGGAAAATGTACAAATAAACGCCTGAGGCACAGGTATCCATTCTGCACCAGGTATGATGTCGGTTAGGCTGCATATTTGCCTAATAACATCTTCTGCCCGACCTAGCCACGATTTTCCCCTCTTCAGTCTGTCGCCCTTTTCACTAAAAAGCGCTTGATGCAGTGGGTGTTTCTTATCAGCACATATTTTGAGGTATGCCCGAGTCCTCCACATCCTGATCCTTTGGTTCATTGTTGGAAAGTCAAGTAGATACCTCATTGCTTCACAGGATGTGTCTCTTGTACATCCCAAAATAATGCGCATGGCTTCATTTTGCACCTTTTCGAGTCTTTCAATCTGGGTAGCACTGACAGTGAGGATGGCCAGAGCGTATTCAATGGGTGAAAGGACCAGACCGTAGAATAGAAGTATTAGTAGTCTTTGCTCAATATTGGAAGCAGCCACAATCCTCACTGCAGATAGACCTTTGCGTGCTTTTGTTATCACATGGTCAACGTGTTCCCTGAATGACAAGCTGCGATCTAACCTCACCCCGAGAAACGTCATAACGTTGGTTCTGATCAATATATTATCACGCATTTTCACTTCTGGTAAGTCCGACTTGACAATGTGATTGTTCAAAGAGAACCATGACACTGATGCCTTCGAAGGATTGACATAGGCATTGGAACCATTACACCAGGCGGCAATTCGATCGAGTTCTTTGTGCATTGTGCTGGCGATCTCCTGTCTATCACGCCCTCGTCGATAAATCAAAATGTCATCAGCAAATGACAAAGTCCTTCCCTTTCCATTCAACTGCTGCTCAGTGATCATCACCATATAAACGTTGAATAAGACTGGTGATAGCGGTGATCCCTGTGGCAAGCCTGGACATATCGTTTGCGGTTCTGAGGACCAGCTACCACATCTTAGTACAATCTTTCTCTGGAACAGGACCGCAGCAATCCAGCGGATCAGAATAGGATTGACTTCTAGTTTAAGCAGTAATTGCATTAAATATTCGTATGGTACTTTATTGTAGGCATCTTCTAAGTCCAACACTGCCGCACATGTCTCTTCTTTAATCTGAAATCCCTCGTACACATCGTAGGCGAAAACAGCAGCATTGAACCATGTCTCTTTCTTCAACCTGTACCCTCCAAGTGTTGATCGGAACTTATCATGTAGTTCCAAGTAGGTGGTCAATCTTTGTGCGACAATTTTTTCCAAAAGTTTGCCAACAGTATTCTGCATCGAGATGATTCTGTAGCCGCAGATCATTGAGTGGTCTTTATTAGGCTTTGGTAGTGGGAACAAATAACTATGGAGCCATTCCTCTTGTATCTGGCCACTCTGGATGCTGATATTGAATTCCTTTGCCACGCTTTTCAAATCAGCGTTCGACATCATCAGCATGTCATTGTATCGGATGCCGTCAGGGCCTGGAGCAGTGCTGCGCGATTTCTTGAGGCAAGTTCTTAAGGTGTCTGCAGTGATTGTGAAATCAGTGCCTAGCTCAGTGTTCTCGTACAGCATCGACAGTTTCATCTTAACCCCTATTCTTGCAGCTTCGTCTTTTTGGTCAGTTTGCTCCAAGTAGCGCGCAAGAAGGGTTTTTCCTTTATCAGCATCAGCTCTCTGCCATATCAGGTCTGTACCCTGAAAATCAGGGATACCCCTTGGTCGTGCGGCGCCGTGCATGCTCCGTTGAAGGCGCCAGAATGTCACAAGAGATCCCTCGGAGCAAACGCTCTTGCAGAATTCGTTCCATTTCGCTGTCTTGGCTTCTTTGGCAATTAACTTGAAAGCCACTGTCCGCTTGTTAACCTCATCTTTTAGACTGATCAGGCGTTCAGAAAGTGACGGATCAATCTTCCTTGCCTTTTGCCATGCCTTGACAGCGTTCCTTTTTTCTAGCCACGCCATGTTGACTACTTCATTCCACCATGGTGGCTGGGCCCATCTCTCCCGCCGTCTGCGATCTGCTCTTGTTTTACGTCGTCTGATTTTGCTAATGGCATCTTGCCCTGTACGGAATGACGTAGTACACAGAAAAACCAAAGAATACGCGGAAAGCGATGACGTAGTACGGCAGATCTTGCAGCAGACGATGCCGACAATAAATGGCAGTAGGCTGGTTTCTGTCAACGGTTTCTCTAGTTTCTTGTCGCTGACATTTCACCACAAGATTCTACAGCTGCTGACGTTCTCGTCTAATTATTTCACTACTAAATGAAGTAAACAACATTTTATTGAGTATCTTCAGGTGTTATCTGCATCATTGTTATCACCTTATTGGGCCGCTGAAACGCCACACAGGCGTTTCGTTCAAGCAAGGCTTATTCATTACGTAGCAGAACGTCGCTCTCATAACACAGCCTGCCTGAAAGAAACTCGGAGTACTTTAAATTTATACCACCACATCTCGTCGACTTCGAGATTTAATAGGGAATTTCAAGGGATCCCTAGGGGCCTCCCTATACACTACCATATTATTAGGGGGAGGGTGGGGGGGGGGGCAGATTTAGGGTTACAGCTAGTGTTAAATGAATAGCGACTACTACTAACTTTAACCCTGAGCCCACCCCCATACTATGGGACGTTCTAGGGATTTCCCAAACAAATCTAAAAGCCGACGAGATGTGGTCGTATAGAATTAAGGTACCAGACTCGGTCTCTCGCCATATCTCATGCATTGTCCTACCAGAAGTGTCATATATCATGTGCCCATTTTTATGCTGGTCGGTCCCTGCCCCTCTTTTCGGGCTCCATGCATTCTAAGGCGTTATCACAAGTAGCTAACTGGCGAATGGATTCTGCCCTGTAATGGAAACGCTACTGTTTCCACATTGTTAAGACTGTTTCGAGTAGGTCGGTGATGTTGAGTCAGTTGAACCTCTTTCAATGGAGCAGTTTCCAGAGTCAGCAACCAGGGAGAGGCGGCACCCCCTGCAGCTAAAGGTAAGTGCCAGTATTTCGGTGTTCACATTTGGTGTCCATGCCTCCTTCAATCTTGTCAACAGTGATTTCGGATTCTGGTCGCTCAAGCACACGGTGCGCCCCTTTCCCCTTTCCCAGATTCATTTTAGGCGCGCTCCCAGTATGTTTTTTTTTAAAAAGAGGAGATAAGACTTCCCTTTTCCCGCCCTCCCGCACAACCTCGCCTTAGCGAAACATTTTCAAATGGGTCTTACTGGTTTTTACAACAGACGCTCTCCTGATATTTATTTATGTATGTCACAATGTGTCAAATATGTGTATTTCTTTGTATTACCATAACATTTTCTCAGCACGAATTTAAAGAGACCGAACAATCTAAAATTCGCGTTAAAAAATCGTGATGACCGTGAATTTATTGGATGTATTAAGAATACTACACCCTTCTTCTTCTCCGTCTCCTGCTCCTCCTACTCCTTCTTCTTCCTCTTCTCCTCCTTCTGCTTCTGCTCCTCCTTCTCCTCCTTTTCCTTCTCTTCTTCTTCTTCTTCTTCTTCTTCTTTTTCTTCTTCTTCTTCTTCTTCTTCTTCTTCTTCTTCTTCTTCTTCTTCTTCTTCTTCTTCTTCTTCTTCTTCTTCTTCTTTTTCTTTTTCTTCTTCTTCTTTTTCTTCTTCTTCCTCTTCTTCTTCTTCTTCTTCTTCTTCTTCTTCTTCTTCTTCTTCTTCTTCTTCTTCTTCTTCTTTTTCTTTTTCTTTTTCTTCTTCCTCTTCTTCTTCTTCTTCTTCTTCTTCTTCTTCTTCTTCTTCTTCTTCTCTTCTTCTTCTTCTTCTTCTTCTTCTTCTTCTTCTTCTTCTTCTTCTTCTTCTTCTTCTTCTTCTTCTTCTTCTTCTTCTTTTTCTTCTTCTTCTTTTTCTTCTTCTTCTTTTTCTTCTTCTTCTTTTTCTTCTTCTTCTTCTTCTTTTTCTTCTACTTCTTTTTCTTCTTCTTCTTTTTCTTCTTCTTCTTCTTCTTCTTCTTCTTCTTCTTCTTCTTCTTCTTCTTCTTCTTCTTCTTCTTCTTCTTCTTCTTCTTCTTCTTCTTCTTCTTCTTCTTCTTCTTCTTCTTCTTCTTCTTCTTCTTCTTCTCTTCTTTTTCTTCTTCTTCCTCTTCTTCTTCTTCTTCTCTTCTTCTTCTTCTTCTTCTTCTTCTTCTTCTTCTTCTTCTTCTTCTTCTTCTTTCTTCTTCTTCTTCTTCTTCTTCTTCTTCTTCTTCTTCTTCTTCTTCTTCTTCTTCTTCTTCTCCTCCTCCTCCTCCTCCTCCTCCTTCTTCTTCTTCTTCTTCTTCTTCTTCTTCTTCTTCTTCTTCTTCTTCTTCTTCTTCTTCTTCTTCTTCTTCTTCTTCTTCTTCTTCTTCTTCTTCTTCTTCTTCTTCTTTCACCATTTACCTCAACGAGGTGTTATGGGAGATGTAAGGATCGTTTGTGTGCTTTTCCCAATGCATTGTACAAGTTTGTGTTCGTTTCTGTTAGGTTGCTCCTGTTGTTGTCACTCCATCTCTTGCGTGTTTTCTTCCTTGTTTTGCGTTCATTACATTTTTTCAGCGTGGCTCTCTGTGGTAGTTGGTAACAGGGCATTCTCGTCAGATGGCCAAACCATCTCATTTGTTGTTCTTTAATAAATTGTACGACTGGTTTCAGTCCCAGTCTTCTTCTAATTTCTTTATTCTTGATTTTATCTCCTCTTGTTACATCAGCAGCTTCCCTAAGACATCTCATCTCTGTTGTTACAATCCATGTTCAAAACTGGTAGCACAATACATCCAAGCTGGGAACGAAAATTTTGTTTACGTTAACGTATCTTTTACAGGACTTTGCACAACCAATCCCAGCATTTTTTGGCTGTTGTGGTTTTTCTAGGCAGATTTGACGCTCAGTAGTTGACCATTGCTTTCTCAACGGTCAGCTCTCGGTAACACTGTTGAAGCCAATACAATACCGTCTGCAGCCAAATCGCCTGCAGCTGGGATCTAGCCCAGCATCCCGGCGTTAGGGAGCGCGTTTGTAACGCCTAAGCCACAAACGCCACAGTCTGCGGTTTTAATACCATATACTTGGCCCGTGGGGGACCGGTTAGCGACTGAAAAAAAGGGTGGAGACCACTAGTCTAAAAGATTATGCCATGAGCATCAAAAGTGAGATGTCCCACTGGTGGATAAAGGGTCCCCCTGGGTTCTTGGCAGGACAATAGGGGGATTTGTGTTTAGGTTTGATCGACGGATCAATATTATGGCACACGGGTGTAACCCATATGCGCTCCGTTCTACTGCTAACTCAAGCTTGAGTCTGAGGTGACTTAGCGCAGTGCACGAAATCCGTTGCACCGGCGAGGATCCTGAAATACTTTGGGTAGATTTTTAACTTCAAATTTCGCCCGGGCAGCGCCGTAAGGCTACTTACTCTTTTCCGATTTTCAACTGCCAAGGTATTTTGTACGTGCGCAAAAATGCACAGGGGCGTCCGATCTTACTACGGAGAGACCTCGGGAAATTACCAGAAGTCCACGTGAAAAAAGTCCCAGTCTTCATCGGAGCTTGAACCCAGGACCTCCAGCACTTGAGGCGGACACCATACCTCGAGACCACTCAGCCCCTCGGGGGGATTTAAGTTTGTACTAGTCGAACAATTCTTTATATTATCTCTGGATGCTGTCATAGTTGTAGAAGGCTGGTGGTTTCGCGTCTAGCCCAGCATCTCTACGGCAAAGCGATTTAACGAATGAATGATTCAATCAAAAACTGATATCAATGCACCCCAAGACATTCCACACTGATCCCTCCCCTTCATCGGTAGTCAACGAAGAGTTCCCACAAAGATGGCTCCAGCTGCAACCTAATTACGAATCTGCAGGTCTTCTCTCCTGAGTGTAAGAAACCGTCCAAACTCACTGCTCACCCCCAGATAAATCAACCTCTACAGTCGTGGACATTCTGTCTGATACGTTGCACTGTTGACTCGATCTCAGAGAGAATTCATTGCGTCCGCTTTTTCAGAAAGCTACTAACCGCTAAGACCAGCGGCATCGGCTAATCGTTCAGGCTTTTTATTATCAAACAAACCCGAGCTTCCTTGGTAATAAAATTTACGATATGCTCACTATCTATGTCTTAGCAAGCGATGCAAGCCAATGTGAGCGTAAAACACTTTTTTACAGGGGATGGTGATGTCACGGCTTCAGCAGAAACGTCGCGTCTCTCTTGTCCTTAACCATCGATCAGCGTGGCTTGAGGGATTACGTGAGCGGCCTCAGGTCTGTCAGAAGGGTTGTCACATTCGGGCTGTGGTTGTGGTTCGGTGAGAAGATGAGCAGAAGAGCAGAAAGAGGGATGTCGGGTACAATGGTAAGAGGATGACTAATAATGAAGCGGTAAAAAAAAACCAGTCAGAAACAGAAAGAGCGGATAGACATTTAGATCATGAACAATCTAGTGGGCAACTCAAATTGACAGTAACTTCTATGAGTGTGCACACGGGAGCCTCATATTTAATTATCATTGTTTCTCTCGGATAATGGAGCTTTCGTCTTGTTTTGTGTTAACAATTTTTAAAGGATTGTTTTAACAGTTAGAAAGAATTCAATTTTAAGAAATATACATATCTACAACAATACTGAATATGTACACATGACAAAAAAATCACAGTTAACACAACAGAAAGCAAATATTAAAGGTTGCTAAATGAGACAAATAGCTCAAAGCGATAATTATCACACAGGGTTTGGGACGGGTAAAAAGGGGGGGGGGGAGGAGAGACACACTGCACACTGAAGAAATAACATCTTTACATTAACATCTATAATGAAAGAATATAACTTGTCGTGTCACAGAAGGTAACTTACACAGTGACATTCTACTTTTATCATCTATCAGGACATTGTATATTAGACCCAGGGATGTAAATGTGATGTGTAAAAAACCAAAACGATATTTTCGAAAAGTCTAAGCTGAGTTTTTCCCAATTCCAAGGCACCCGATTCGATTCCCGGTGCAGGCGCTTTGGCAGCCTGACCTCTCTGCACTGGTTTAGATATTGCTATCACCACACGAACGTTCATGAAGCAGTGGCAAACTAGTTAATGTAAAATTGCCGAGAAAAACTTAACATCTCCCTACCACCCCCTCCCCCCCCCCCCTAAAAAAATAGCTTGCGTTGGTTCTACAACGTCCTGTAAGGGATACGCAACTAGCATTGCTCAGTTGCACGCAGTTAAATACATCTTATAATTACAGCCAGTCACTTATCACTACAGTTATTAAAAAAGTAAAGTGCAGCATGAAAGAAAATGTTATTCTTTATAAACCTATTATTAAATTTAATTAGCATAAAGTAACTGTCAAAATGTTGTAGCAGTAAAATTGTTAAAAAAAAAAAAAAAAAAGCATGTGCGCGTGCATGCGTGCAGTTTATCCCCTTTTAGCTGCTAGCTGACAGTATAACACTTTAAGATCACAAGATCTCAATCTTAGTGGCAGACCAACAAGACCTACAAGTCTGACGCCGCGAGACTAAACAATCTGAAGAGCGTAAAAAAAAAAAGGCGGGGGAAATTAAAAAATTCCCTCTAGGTTATTAATGTTAGTTAGTCTTTCCTCTTGAGCGTAAGGCGGTGCATAGGGCAGAGGCCATAGCTCTCCATTTATGAAGGTTCGTTGCCACCTGATTTAGGTCTTAGATATGGATCAGGTCCATAGCTGAGCCTTCCCTGATGATGGTTCTATGTAGTCTCTCTTGGTCTTACCCGTTTTCTTATTAATTATGTTATGAATGTGTCATCCATTATCTGATAAACTAAAATTATTTTTTTTAAATTTCTGGCTTGAAGTATATACGAGATTTGGTCACTCTATGTTAACATTTATTAAGAAAAACTACTGTAGTCACTGAGAGGTGAGACCAAACCAATGATATCCCCAGTGCCAAGTGAAAAAAGCTGCGATATGACACAAAGGGACATAACAACAAACATTTAACGTAGTCTTATTTTCAAGAGTTGTATACCTCTAGCTTTCTCTCAGATCTCTTGGATTCGGTTTTCTTGAGAGGTTTCACAGGTTGTCTGTTCTCTTTCTCTGCAAGAGGACAGAACCAGCAGAAGGATTGAATCAGATATTGAATCCTATATATATTCTATCCGCATATCTCTCTCTCTCTCTCTCTCTCTCTCTCTCTCTCTCTCTCTCTCTCTCTCTCTCTCTCTATTAAGTAGTATTTCGAGAACAGGTTAGATCAATTAAACGACGACATTTAAGAAATTATGGGGTGAGTCACGTTCAACCCCATCAGGACCGCACAACGAACAACTAACGTCCAGTGGCACAAAGTGCCACCCTTCGGATGAGAATCCCTAAAGGACTTCCGGTTTAGAAATCAGCGTGAAGACGTGCTAGCGGCGATTCGCGATTTTATTTTTAAAAATTTCACTTAATCGGTGTTTTTCTTTTGATAACAGAGTGCGATTATTACTAATTCATTGACGGTGGATATTTTCTTGTTCATGGATACAGATATTCTCTGTTTTTATTGGTGTTTTAATAAAATTAATTCAACAAAATAGCCACGGCGGCGGCCGTGTCCTAATATCGATAATGTAACCGCGTAGGAGCCACGCTCCCATTATAAACATGGGAGTCCACGGGTAAGAACCCAGTCTACTCTAGCAAAACAAGGTGCTGAAGTCGGAGGCAACCAGCCAGGAGACGCACCACAGCAATCAGGATGCCACGCACAAACGCAACAGGGAATATTTCTATATCTGCAAATAAGTATGATTCTCACCATGTGACCCACTCACGTACACGTGGTTCGATTTACCCGCCTACGACAAGTAGAATGAGTCCAGCTTCAAAGCCTCCCCCGTAAAACCAGAAAAGCAGAAAATACAGCTACTCTTAAAATAATGCACTGGAACGCGGAGGGAGTAAATACTAAGACATTAGAATTAGAAAACGTCTTGAACGAAGAGAATATACATGTATGCTGCCTTCAAGAGACGTATCTCAAACAAGATATCTCCTTCAAGGTCAGAGGCTACCAGTGTTTCCGATCTGACCGCAAAGACAAGATAAAAGGTGGAATTCTTACCCTGGTCAAACATAACATCCTTGCGGGCCAGATCGAAACATACATGGAAGGTGCTGAGTATCAAACTCTTGAGCCCAAGTTAGAAAATACAGATTTTCATCTGACCAACTACTACTGTCCGAGCGACCGCCCTCAGGCACTGGATACAGTACTAGTAAATGAAAAAAATGATCATTTGCGGGGATTTTAATAGCCATTCCCAAAGCTAGGGCTATTATCACATGGATCAGAGAGGAGAGAAACTAGAGGACTGGCAGGATGAGAATAATTTCATCCTCGTTAATAAGCCAACCGACCCACCAACCTTCTACTCTAGAGCCTGGCATACCACCTCGACACCAGACCTAGCCTTTCACTCAGCAGACATGGAACTGAATGTTACCCGAACTGTTGGGAAGCAACTAGGAGGCAGTGACCACCGGCCAGTCTTTCTTACTATAGAAAGCCAGTCTGTAAGAGAGAGAGAGCAGCACACTGCCAAGGTGGAGTTTTAAGAAGGCAGACTGGAAGTTGTATCAGCTTCGCACAAATGTTCTGCTGGACAATCTGAACACAGATGACGACGTAGAAAAAGTAGCCCAAGAGCTGAGCAAACGCATGCTGCAGGCAGCCCTAGAAGCAGTTCCAAGAGGTGCTCGTAAACAATATAAACCGTATGGAATTACGATCTGGAGCAACTGCACAACAATATGGCAACAGAAAGAAAACAAGCTGAGACCAGACCTTGTCAGGAGCAGTTCAACAACTATCAACATTCAAAGGCCAAATTCCAAAGAGCCAAACTGCAGGCTAGACGGACAAGCTGGCAGGAAAAGAGAAAGTCTCTAATCTTTGAAAGAGACACAAGGAAGTTGTGGAGGTTAATTAAACAAATTAATGACGAGAATACAGGAAGAAATGGTAATATTGCACTATGCAAAGAGGGAGCCATCCTAACAAGAAAACAGGCAGCTGACAACTTTGCAGATTCTTTTGCAGAAGACAGCAACATTAATGTCAGCCCAGAGAAACAGCGAGAGGTTCGAGAGAACAAACAGCATACAAGACAAAATGATATAATTCCTGAAGCACTGGTGGCAGCATTTACATCTAGCGAGTTAGAGCTAGCAATATCAAAGCTGAGAATGGGAAAATCATCTGGAATTGATGGTATCACCAACGAAATGATCAAACACCTTGGAACAACTGCCAAAATAAAGCTGCTACAGATCTTTAATCATTGTTGGACCAGTGGCAAAGTTCCTTAGATATGGAGAGAAGCAATTACAATACCAATACAGGAAAGGACAGTTCTGATACCTCCAGCTATAGACCGATCAGTCTTACCAGCTGCCCCTGTAAAACAATGGAACGCATTGTCAACCTTAGACTCTAATGGTGCTTGGAAAGTGAAAACATTATCATGCCGCAGCAGGCAGGATTTCGACAGTGCTACTCCACAGAAGACCAGACAACTTACCTTTCACAAGAAATTGAGGATGCCTTCCAGGAAAAGAATCTAGTGCTAACAGCATGGATAGATCTGAAGAAAGCCTTTGACAAGGTCTGGACAGAAGGTCTACTGAAGAAACTGAGAGACTGCAGGGTGAATGGGAGTATGTACAAATGGGTGAAAGCATACTTGTATAACAGAAGATCCATAGTACAGATGGATGGACTTAAGAGTAAGGAAGTTTTGCTGCGCCATGGAGTACCACAAGGAGGTGGCCTGTCCCCCACACTCTTCCTAGTCTATATCAATGACCTGCTTTCTGAACTACCCCATGGAATTAAAGCTGCAATGTATGCTGATGACTTGGTACTCTGGTGTACAAATGAACATGCAACAGTGGCCACCAGACTGCTACAAAGAGCCATAGATGCAATGGCTAAATGGGCCGACAAATGGTGTGTCAGCATCAACATAGGCAAATGCAGCACCACCCTCTTTACCCTTTTTCTAAACAAAAATCAGGCGTCATACACATAAATGGAGTACCCCTGAGAGAGGATAAGGAGCCCACATACCTAGGAGTTAACGTTTGATGATAGGTTAACATGGAGAAAACACATCAACAGGGCAACAACCAAAGCCAGAAGGAGGGTAGCCATTCTGAGAAAACTAAGTGGGACCACATGGGGTGTTAGCGGGAAAATACTTCGGAAAGTTTACCAACAAAGTGTTCGACCACATCTTGAATACAGATCAACAGCATGGAATTCAGCATCAAAAACCACATTGCAAGAATTAGACAAAGTGCAAAATCAAGCACTCAGAGTTACCAAGGGCAGTATGAAATCAACACCTATAGCTATGATGGAGAAAATGGGTATGACCCAAGCACTGAGTGAACGCAGAGACACCAAGATGCTTTTACAAGCAGAAAAGTTTCTTAGTATGCCCAGTCACCCCATGAATGAAAGATTCAAAAATTTGGCTTTGGGACGACTAAAGAGAAGTAGTTTTATCCACCAGGCCAAACGGCTCGGCTGATAAATCACTGATTTGCCTACAACTGATAGATCCTTAAATGCTGTTCCAGAACGGACCCCCTGGAGAGAGGACTATAAGTTTCCTATACACATCAAGACTGAAGTGAAAGGGGTATTTGACAAGGAAGAACAAAACAGTGTGCAGCGCAAAACAGCCACCCTCAGTCTACTTGATGATTAATATCCACATAATCTTTGGGTCCGTGTTTACACAGATGGGTCAGCAGAAAACGCTGTCAGAAACGGAGGTGCGGGAGTGTACATTGAGTATCCTAATAATACTAGGGATACAGCCAAAATACCAACAGGAAAGCACTGTCACAACTATGATGCAGAAGTTCAAGCCATCAAGATAGCGGCAGAGAAACTACTAAATACAGGGTATTTTTCACAACCAGTAGTATTCCTGACAGAAGCAAAGGCGGTACTTCAGCCACTCCAGTCTGGAAAATTACCGAGCAGACGGACACTATTATCCGAACTAGGCAACCGTTGTAATTTAGTAATGCAGTGGATACCTTTGCACTGTGGAGTTCCCGGAAACGAAAGAGCTGATAGACTAGCTAAGGAAGGTGCAAATGAAGAACAACCTGACATACCAGTCTCTTATCAACAGAAGAAGAGAATGATCAAATCAATCAGAATGCCACCGAAACTGGCACAAGACGATTACCATATTATGGACAGACCAGAGCAAGTCATTATCCTTCGCTTAGAACAGGGCACAATCGACTTCGCTGCCACATGTACAACAAATTTAAGATTGGCCAATCAGACATGTGTATTTGTGGACTGGCACCTGAAACAACAGATCACATCCTTCAAGACTGTCCCAGATTCAACGCTTTCAGGCAAAACCTTTGGCCAAAAGAGACACTTGTGGAAGTCAAACTTTACGGGCCGCTTAGTGAATTACAAAAGACAGTGAAATTCATACAAGAGACAGCTTTGCAGATATAGACAATTTATTTCATGCGAACGAAAGAAGAAGAAGAAGAAGAATCCCTAAAGGTAAGTCGCACACACACACACACACACAAATAAATAAAAAAAGTTGACCATTTAGTGATAACTTTGAGAATATATAGGGTAGGAGCAGGAGAAAGACAATACACACACACACACATATATATTTATATACATAATGTTGTCTTTCTGCCTATACTTGCCAATCTGTAGGGTGTTGTAGGGATGAATTGGGATTTTTGTTACTTTGCTAATGCTTATCAAAATGTTTGTGTTGTGTGTGTTTGTGTATGTGTGTTGTATGTGTGTTTGCGTGTTTGCATGGCATGTTTAATAAGGGCAGGCAGAGCTTTAACTTCCGTCTCAATAGGAGAAGCATTTTTTTTTCTTCAAAAACCCCAGGAGGTGAGCAATTACAAACAGGAAAATACTCTACAATAACCACTGGTTCTGGACGCTCACACAGGTAAGGGCAAACACACAAGACAGTGCCGTGCTATGATACAGAGACTTGGCCCCATCAGGCGGCACCAAAACGGAGGCGGCATTCGCAGCTCAATCAAAGTACAGTTTGAACATTCAAAGGACGGCATTTCGAAAATTTGCATCGTACTCAGATAATTTACCGCACAGCCGTGCATACAGACAACAAACAATCGCTGCTTTACTGACCTCTGACCTCTATCAACAACGGCGTTACTGACCTTTGACCTCAAGAAGGTTTCCTGCCAGAAAGACGGTGTCACATGACATTGGCAAAGGTGTCTGAGACTTCTCGATAAAGACGTTGATGAAAGTTACATCCATATTTCTGGCTTGTAGAACTGGCTCTAGAGCTTCCCTGTCACACGAGAGAGGAGATCGCATGTCGATGATAAAAATCAAGAAGGAAGCAATGAAGAGGGAGACTGATATGACTAACACAGATTAAGGGACATAAATTAGAGTAATGTAGGCGGATAAAATGACAAAGTAAAAATGCAAGAAGCAAGGGCGATAAAGTGGAAGAGGGGTAGGGGGTAAGGGAAAAAACGGACCAGGAATTGGGTGAGTGTGAGTATGTGTGTGTCGAGGGGGGGGGGGGGGGAGGGGGGAGGAGGGACTAAACAGAGAATTTAATATAAAACCAAGAAGAACGTAGACAAGTGAGCCTCACAAGGTAACAAAACGCAAAGTCAAAGCCAGCGTTGAGATTACAGAGCCTTCATTGGCACATTACAAAATCAACTCAAAAACACGTAGTAAAGACACGAATACATACAATTACTTAACTGTTCCATTTTCGATATAACACAAAACATGACTGATAATTAAATTTACATTAAAAAAAAAAAAAAAAAGGATGAAATAACAACAACTTTAATCTTAAACAATACAGCACAGTACTGATGAGTGTGACGGGCACAAGCAGATAGTGGCAGTTCTGTGAGGGCGGGACACACGAGGTCAGTTATACACAGAGGAGAAAAGGAATAGGTTAAAACTGCTGCAGAACAGAATTACAAGAGAAAGGGTAGGTATGGAGTGGATGTTCACAAAAGATGACATTGAAATACAAAATGAAATAAAGACAGGTTAGAATAGGAGGCGTAGAAGAAGAAGAAGAAGAAGAAGAAGAAGAAGAAGAAGAAGAAGAAGAAGAAGAAGAAGAAGAAGAAGAAGAAGAAGAAGAAGAAGAAGAAGAAGAAGAAGAAGAAGCAGAAGCAGAAGAAGAAGAAGAAGAAGAAGAAGAAGAAGAAGAAGAAGAAGAAGAAGAAGATGAAGAAGAAGATGAAGAAGAAGATGAAGAAGAAGATGAAGAAGAAGAAGAAGAAGAAGTAGAAGAAGGAGGAGGAGGAGGTTAAGGGGAAAAAAAGCAGAAGGAAAAAAAAATTACAAAGTAATAAGATAAGCTAAATAATAAAAAAAAAAAAAAAAATTACAATGCTATTTATTTTTGGCAAGTAGAGGAACTCACCTGAGGGATTTATTCTTTGCTGCAGCCACCACGACACATTCATCCTCTTTACCAGCAGAGTCTGAAAATCTGAGAGTGAAGTAGCTACCGCTGGTCACAGCCTGGTGATTAGGAGAAGACAGTGGGATATGGCAATGGCTCTTCTCATGGATTGTTTTTCTAGAAAATTAAAGGTACCCGTACATACACATTTGAGTGTATAAAAAAGGTTATGGTACTGCCCACACAGTATCTATTATAGTAGTGCTGAAAAGTTCTTTTCCACTAGGTGCTCGGACAAGTCTACCTAGGCCTATCCCTCACGTCGTTACGTTATGTCCACAGCCAGCTCGAAGTTCTTTCAGCAGCTTGGTCCAGTTTTATTAGTGCCCGTTTATGCTTGTTTTCTCGCAATCCTAGCTTCTTCAGCACGTTGTATGTGAAGGCTGAGATTATTTCAGTTCATGAGTGCAGGTTTCACAGAGAAGTATGGGGGTCGTCATTAGAGATACGGAGCCCGTGCGTTGTGCCAAGGTCTTGACCCCCGTGGCCTTAAACTGGGCACTAGTGGTTCTATCATACAACGTAATTTCCTCTATTAAGCACAGCCTTAGTTTGTAAATGTGTGAAGTTTATTAGTAATAGTTTTAGTCACTTGGGGCGTTTGTCCTTAATACACCAGCGCTGATCTGCTGTTAACATAGAAACAAAAAATTAAAACATAAAACTAGAGTATCGTACGATTTTTCCATTGTCACTGACACATAAACGGCAGCTGGCCGGATGGATCTGAACACCGTGCTTTCATGCGGGAGGCCAAGGTTCGAATCCTTGGTAAGATTTAGGATTTTTTTTTCGTCGGCAAAAATTAAATCCCAACCTGCACAGTTCATGGCGACAGGACTAGCCATGTGGCTTAAAGACACCCCCCTACCCTTACGGACAGACAGACGAGTTGTGATTTCACCTGTACAGGCATGAGCTAGTAACGTTTACACGGGAGAGATTTTCACAGCGACAGGACTAGCCATCTGACTTAAAGACACCCCCACCCCTCCCCTCCCCTCCGCTGTTACCACGAAAGTGGTATTTACAGGCAGTAATGGCACTTTTATCAACACAGTGATTGAGTGGCTAGATCAGCTCATCTGTAGGAAGGAAAATGAGCTTGCACAGGAAGATCAAACTCACCTTGGTGCGGGTAACAGCTGGAGTCTGCCCAGGTGTAATTGCTTCTGTGGAATCTTGTCTGTAGCCCATGAGAAACGTCGAACTTTCATCTAGGCTGGAATTTCTCTCCAAGGTGGCACTCTTCTGATCTCTGAATGCACGGACAGATATACGGACAAACTTAGACTTTGTCGCGAGTAAACAGAGACACATGGACTATCATACTTTCAGTCGCAAAACCGATCACCCCATTATTGCTCACAAAATGCCCATCATTTTCCCCATGCGAAATGACAAACAGACAGGAGTCGTAGCAAAATTCAGCAGCTTGCACACGCAATAAATGCATAAAGACACACAGACAAAATAAGATAGCCGGACAGACAGACGAGGTGCGATTTCACCTGTACAAGCTTGAGCTAGTAACGTTTAAACAGGCGAGATTATCACGTGTTTTTGGTTTTCTTTGTTCGTTGATTATTTTCCCTCCCTGTTGCTTCGCTGCTGAGAACATGCGTGCCCAGCTAGCATTGTAGTACTAATAACTGGTAGCTTTCACGAGTTACAGATCCTGCATAAGTGGCGTAAGCGTTCTTTTCGATTTGTCTGAGTCTATTTCAGAACTAGATGTCAGAGATGTTGAAAGCAACAAGGGGGGTTAACAGGCGTACCTATCTTACCCTACATAATTTGAGAGAGGCCACTTTAGGTAGGGTGCTCCAAGCAGTTAATAGACCGGTATTTTATGTTTGATTTTCCTAAATGAAAATGAAAGATATGTATGTTTTTAGTCGAGGCAAAATTTCTGCTTCTGACAGACAGTGGCTGCTGCATTTTCCTCCATTTATAGATTTAAAGGATATAGTTTTGTCACCCAGCTACTGTGCTGAGTGCATGGTGCACAACTGTGAGCTGCAGATTTTATCTGGAATGTTTTTCGACTGTGACCAACGTGGTGTTGTGAAGCAGTTAGTTATGTTGCCTTGTGCTCTCTAGGTCGTGGGTTCATTTAAGGTTCCGTCCTTGGGTTCGTAAGTGCACGTGTCTTGGAGATCCCTGGGGGTCATTGCTGGAGATTCAGTTTCGTGCTGTATGCGATACTTTTGATAGGCAAACAGCGACTTTGCCTAGAGAGACTGATCCACTATATGGGAATAAACCTGCTTTCATGAAGTGGATCCTCTGACTTTTTAACACCGTGTAACACCTGTATGAGCAATCTATTGGCGTTACAATACTAATTCAAAGGGGGATGTGCAGATCTTCTGGAGGATATTCAACACTGAGCTGGGGACACAGACGGTTTAAATCAATTTACAACTGGTATTATTAGTAGGGCTGTACCGAAAATTCGCTTCGTATTCGCTTCCGGGCCGAATAGTGGACCTAGTGACTATTCGGTATTCGGCCGAATAGTTGCGGTCGGGCCGAATACGAATAGTAGTGACCTTACACCCGCTTCTGCATACACGGCCTTAATGCAGACAACATGGAACGATTGGTTTTGTTGAAAGCTAATGCAGCTTTCATGCATTAACTAAGCTGTCAGTGACAATTTCCAAGTTTAGTTACTTGTTATAATACTTAGGATTATTTCATTCTTAGTTATTAGTTACCACAGTCTGACTGAAGGATGCAAAACATGAAGGTTTTTAAATGTTTACTATTCTGTACGAATACTAACTAGACATGGAAAGAATATAAACTCCGTCCACATCCAAGTCGATAATATGAAAATCAAACGAACGGAAACATATGTACTTGGGTGCAAACTTCAACTGCTCTAACATGCTGAGAGAAGAAATACAATCTAGAAAAAAGTATACCATGCACTTAAACATCTGCTAAAGGTCAAAGTGTCTGTCTCGCAACACCAAGATCAAAACATATAAAACGTTGATAAGACCAGTCGTTTTATATGGCTCTGAAACTTGAAGCAGAAATTAAAAAGATGAGGCCTTATTACTGGTTTTAGAAAACAGTCTTACGACAAATCTTTGGACCCACCAAAGACGCAAACAGCGGGGAATGGAGAGTTAGAAGCAACAACGTAACACATAATCTGTTTAAATCACCACTGATCACTGGCATCATGAGAGCTAACAGACTAAAATGGTTTGGGCATATTGAAAGAATGTCAGATGACAAGAGAAGTAGAGACTGTATACACATGAGAGAGGAATGAGCATAGACCACGAGGCAGACAAAACAGATCATCGAGAGAAAAGAAGGCCAGCCAGAGAGATGAATACAGCAGTAAACCTCAAGGGCTCAGAATGCTATAGAAGAAGATGATTATTCTGTGCTACTTTATGTGAAATACAAGTTTAGCGTAGATTTGATATATTTTATACACTTTACACTATTCGTATTCGGCCGAATAGTGAAAAATACTATTCGGTACAGCCCTAATTATTAGGCGTTGGACACGTCTTTGGCTATTGAAAAAGTGGACCAGAGGGAATGTCTTAGATAGAGCGATGTAAATTTTTGATTCATTCATCCATTCACTGACATTCCAATATTAATGTTAACAAGATATATGTGGTTCTTCCAGATAGTGGTCTGATCGTATCTCTTCCCTTATCTGACAACCAGTAACAGTTAAGGAGATAATAATCCACAGTTCGCGAGAGTATAATGCACTCTCATAGACACAGAATAGTGCACTCTCATAGATACAGAATAGAGCACTCTCATAGACACAGAATAGTGCACTCTCATAGATAATAATGCACTCTCATAGACACAGAATAGTGCACTCTCATAGACACAGAATAGTGCACTCTCATAGACACAGAATAATTCACTCTCATAGACACAGAATAGTGCACTCTCATAGACACAGAATAATTCACTCTCATAGACACAGAATAATGCACTCTCATAGACACAGAATAATGCACACTCACAGACACATAATAATGCACTCTCATATACACAGAATAATGCACTCTCATAGACACAGTATAGTGCACTCTCATAGACACAGAATAATGCACTCTCATAGACACAGAATAATGCACTCTCATAGACACAGAATAATGCACTCTCATAGACACAGAATAATGCACACTCACAGACACAGAATAATGCACTCTCATAGACACAGAATAATGCACTCATAGACACAGAATAATGCACTCATAGACACAGAATAATGCACTCATAGACACATAATAATGCACTCATAGACACAGAATAATGCACTCATAGACACAGAATAATGCACTCATAGACACAGAATAATGCACTCTCATAGACACAGAATAATGCACTCATAGACACAGAATAATGCACTCATAGACACAGAATAATGCACTCATAGACACAGAATAATGCACTCTCATAGACACAGAATAATGCACTCATAGACACAGAATAATGCACTCTCATAGACACAGAATAATGCACTCATAGACACAGAATAATGCACTCATAGACACAGAATAATGCACTCTCATAGATACAGAATAATGCACTCATAGACACAGAATAATTCACTCTCATAGACACAGAATAATGCACACTCACAGACACAGAATAATGCACTCTCATAGACACAGAATAGAGCACTCTCATAGACACAGAATAATGCACTCATAGACACAGAATAATTCACTCTCATAGACACAGAATAATGCACACTCACAGACACAGAATAATGCACTCTCATAGACACTGAATGATGCACACTCACAGACACAGAATAATGCACTCTCATAGACACAGAATAATGCACTCTCACTTACTCATTTCTGTGGCTTTCTGCATTTGTCCATCGAGTCAAGGCAATTATTTCCCCATCAGAGCCAGTTCTGTGTTTGTTGGATGCCTCCAAGTTCTGTGGAAACAAACAAACAGATTTTACCCTTTAGTTGGCAGGCAAGCGCCGTGTTGTGGGGAGGAGCGAATGATCCGTCCGTTTTTTATTGGAAAAAAATTGTCACTTTTAACCAGCATCCTCACAGGAAGAGCCCTAGGTTATAATTGTTGCTAAGTTTATTCGCGCCATATAGTACGGCTTGGCATTGCTCGCCACTAAGTAACCATGAAAAGGGCTGTGGCAGAGTGCTGACGTTATCACGAGAGACATACCCAAATACTGTCCCGACCGACAACGAAGTCGTCTACCGGCCAGTCAATGGGTGACCCGGTCGCCAATATGAGAAACGAGAAGGAAAAGTCACACTGTTATATAGCAAGGCTGCACCGGTAGTTCTGTCTACACGATGCCATTTGTGTGTGTGTGTGTGTGTGTGTGTGTTTAGGTCCTGGATGTGTATAGGATGGCAGTGATTACAAAAGGATACCCCTATAAGTGCCAAATCTTCGCCAATAGATCATCGTCCTTACCTGAACACACATACAGACATACACCCGCGCGCGCGCACACACACATCGTGATTGTAACTGACTCAGAAAACACGATGAGAAAGGTGAGGACAGGCATGCTTCGTGCAGAGTGTCAACCTTAGCTTCGGAGGTCGTGGGTGAGGAGCAGTGTCTAGATCTTGTCTCCTGGTCAGGTCTGTGAATTGGGAAATGAACAGGCGGATAGACCAGCTGGCTCTGCACCACTTGGTTGAATAATGATTCATGATAAGGCCGACGTGGTTATGGCCTCGTGGTAGAACGTGTAAAATTCAGGGGAATCAATGAAACACCAGTCTGGTAACAGTGATGCTGCGGAGAGTGACGAGGGATCTGGCCGATACTTGACGCAAAGAGAACAGACAAGACGGACGTACAATCAGAATGCTACAGACACCACTGGTACTGGAAATCTGTGCTGGCTGAAGAAGATGGAGACGGAGAGCTTATGGGAATGCCTCGAGTTCTGTGACATCAACTTAACTCAACTCAACCTACCTAGGACAGCAGGTTACATCAGCCTGGTATAGCCGTTGAGGCTGCCATAATTATAACTTATCTGGAGTTTAAACGGGGTATCGGGGATCTAACTTATTGGTCTGCCATCCAGAGTAACATTTTGTCAATCTAGGTATGGTAAACCGTCAAGTAGCAGCCCTGAGGGAACAAATCCACTGATCGATCACAAATCATAGTAGGAGCTTCTCAATTCAGCACTCTTCCCCCTTCCCACTTTTGTGGACAGGCAATCCCGGTTTTTATCTCTTTGTCATCCTTTTACTCTTTGCCCCATCAATCTTTCTAGTTATCACTAAGTTTTTGACACCCCCCCCCCTGCCCCCCCCCCCCCGTTTTTCCTATGTACACAAAATAGTGACTGTCTACCAGGTGAACTGATACTAACATTGCAGATTGACATAATTTCAATAGGACGGAAAACAAAAGAAGAAGAAGAAGAAGTAGAAGGGGGAGGGGAGGAAGAGGAAGAACTGCCACAATGAAGACATGTCGGGGGAAGGGAAACTAGAAGCGGTGTTTGGTGGGAGGGGGATGGGATGGGGGATGGGATGGTGGGGGGGGGGGGGGGTCTAAACCTAGTTTACTTGTGTGAGCGATGACTTTTAGGAATAGACAGTTGGTGTTTTCCCGACATTTTATGAAAGGAAATGGACTCGAGAACTTAGTACCAACGGGCCCGACTGATGGACCGTGTGCAAGGTTAAGACACAAGCACGTGAAGGCTTAGCCATTTGGATTGGGCGCGATAATAGCACTGACCCAATCTGTGAGTCTGGTGATCGAATTGGATGGCAAACCATGGCAGCCTACGCTTATCGGCTCGACATATAATAATAATTATTTGTTTTGTGCTCTCTCCATGTTTGTCTGTCTGTCCGCCCTTCCCTCTGTTTCTCACTGTTTGTCTCATCTCTCCCTTTCTCTCCATTGGCAATAGTGTCCAGTATAATCTATGGGATTTTCCCGTGTAGGTTCGAATCCTGCAGAGGACGAAATTTGTATGTGTGTATGTAGATGTGTGTTTTTGTATACGTGTCTGTATGTGTGTGTATGTGTGTCAGGTGTGTGTGTGTGTGTATACATGCCTAATGTATGTGTGTCTTTGTGTATGTGTGTGTGTGTACATGGGTGGGTCTGTATGCATCTATGCCTAATGTATGTGTGTCTGTGTGTATGTGTGTGTACATGGGTGGGTCTGTATGCATCTATGCCTTATGTATGTGTGTCTGTGTATGTGTATGTGTGTCTCTCTGTGTGTATGTCTCTCCATGTGTGTCTGTATGCATTTGTCTGTGTGTCCGCGTGTGTGACTGTCTGTATGTATGTGCGTGTATGTCTGTCCATGTGTATGTGTGGGTGCGTGTGTTTGTGCGTATGTCTGTGTGTGTCTGTATGCATGGATGCCTGTGTGTATGTGTGTATCTATGCATTTATGTATGTGTCAGTGTATGTTGTTTATGTGTGTCTGAATGTGAGTGTGTATGTGTGTATGTATGAGTGTTGTTATGAGCGAGAGTGTATGTATGTATATGTATGCATGTGTTTGTATGTGCGTTGGTATGTGTGTGTGTATCTGTGTGGATGTCTGTGTGGGTGTGCATCTGTGTGAGTCTGTGTGTGTATCCGAGTGTGTCTCTATCTGTATGTGTGTGTGTGTGCTCGTGTGTATGTCAGTATGCATGCATGCCTATTTGAATGTATGTGTGCATGCGTCTGTTTGTGTGTGTGCGTGTCTTTGTGCGTGTGTGTCTGCGTTTGTGTCTCTGTGTATTTCTGCGTGTATGTTTGTGTGTGTGTGCGTGTGCCTGTGTCTGTGTGTCTACACGTGTGTTTTTGTGTGTATGTCAGTGTATGTGTATGTCGGTGTGTGTCTCTGTGTACATGTGTGTGTATGTGTGCATCTATGCCTTATGTGTGTATGTATTTGTGTGCTTGTGTGTATCATTGTGTGTGTGTGTGTGTGTGTGTGTCTTTGTGTGCATGTCTCTGTGTGTGTCTATATATGTCTACGTGTGTGTTTGTCTGCGCGTGTGACTGTTGTATGACTGTTTGTGCCTGCGTATGTCTGTCAAATGTGTGTCTGCGTGTGTGTATGCTTGTGTGTGCCTATATGCAAGCAAGCCTGCCTACCTGCCGGCCTGCGTACGATCGTGTGTGTGTTTGTGTATGTATGTAAGTACGTATGAATCAATGTATGCATGTATATATGTATGTATGTATGCATGTGTAAATGTATGTGTTTTGTATGTGTGTCTGAATACGTGTGTGTGTGTGTGTATGTGTGTGTTTAAATGTGTGTGTATAAACGAATGTATGTGTGGGTGTATGTATGTGGGTGAGTATGTGTGTGTGTGTGTGTGTGTAAATTAGTGACTGAGTAGGTGGGGATGTGCATGTGGGTGTGTGTGTGTGTGTGCGCAACTGTGCACATGCATTTTACCACTCATGCTTTTGTGTTTTTACTTGCTATTCATAATATGCATATTTGTATATAAAATAAGATGCTTTTTTAATAAAATGTAACTTCTGTGTGAAAGATGGGTGTTTAGAAGGTCTAAGTATAAGACAGGCTTGCGTACCTTATTTGTGATCCTTTGAAAATAAAGTTCTTTCGTTCGTTATATATATATATATATATATATATATATATATATATATATATATATTTTTATATATATATATATATATGTATATATAAAACATTTAAAGTTGTTTAATTATGGTAGGTAGGTAGCTGCATTTCACCAGGACATCACACAAGTGACAAACACCCGGTGACACGAAGTGCCTCCATGCGGATGAACATCACCCGTGGAGAGGTCCCAGAAACCCCTTTCAGCCGTTAGGCCATATTTATGGCTTGGCCATATTTAAGGCCCGGCTATATTCAGGGCCCCCGGCAAAAGCCGGGGGGGGGGGGGGGCTTCAAAATAACACAAAAATTACATCCCATGAGGGAACGACTTGGATTTGATCTAATTTTATTATGAATAAACATACCTAAACATGGCATGTACTGAATAACCCACCTTGGCGATCCATCAGCGAAATAGCAAGGTACAGGTGCACTGCCAGTGTCGCAAAACATAATTACGCCTTGCCTTTGAAACATTATGTAACCACAACTTGTAACATCGAATCTGTTAACACGGTTAAATGATAATAAATTATGTTATAAAGTTACTTACATAACTCTCATTCCTCAAGGTCATGCTGTTCGACAACTCTTGCTGAATGATTTGTGTGTTACCTCCCTTGCTACTGAAAAAAAGCATTGAACTTCACAGAAAGGAATAAACAGGATTATCCGGGAAGTAAAGGGGCGGTCACGATACAGTCTGTAAGTCAATGATCAATACAGTGGGAGAGGTTGCGTGCCGTCAGCTTGTCATAGTGGTAACAGTGCTGGGAAAGTCCAGAGTTCGATACTTACAAGACATCTTACTTGTGATATAACTCGCTGAGTCCCATACATGCCTTTCTTCAGTTCAAATTTCTTTAAGCATTAGTTGCTGTCTCGGTATGCAATCTCCGTCCCAATGTGGGAGGCAATTGTGCTGTTGCTGTTATTTTTACGCCACATTCTGGATGTCGTCGGGGGCCCTAATATGTCCTAACGGTTGAGCGGAGTTTCTGGAACTTGTACCCGTGGAATTCTCGTCCGAATTGTGCCACTTTGTGTCTTTGGGTGTTTGTCGCACGTTATGCAGTCCTAATCGGGTTGTACGTTATTCAGAGAAAAATATGTCTGGGTAACAAAAGGTTCAAATAATATCAGTGTGGAACAAATGGAGCTGAAGTATCAGCTCGGACATCAGGGGTTAAAGCTACAGCAGCAAGAGGCACAGGGAGCTGACAAAAGCATCATATGCCACAAGCAGTGAGTTATTGGGACTGAATAGGAAATCCTCTCCTTAGCATTCACCAACTGTAAGGTTCTGCTGGTTAGTC